TGATCCTGGGAAATGGGGTGAAGATTAGTCTTCCATAACTACTTCTTGCTGAAGTGGGCTGTAGAGATTTTTTAAATCTACTTCCAAAAGCACAAATAGGAAACAGTGGGACTTTAACTGAATATTATTTGGATTTAATAAAATATTAAGCGAGAGCATAGACAAAATTATTAAGCAAGTAATGGTGAAAAAAGACTATTGTCTCAGAAACAATACTTGAAAGTGAAAGTAGTCCCACAAACTACATGCATGACCAAAGTCTCTAATTTATTAACGTAAGTTGAAACATTTCCCTGAAAATAATTTACAGCTGTACTTTAACAAGGAAACACAGCCATCTTGACAAAGTCTGAAGAAAAATTGAAAACATTAGAGACATGTAATTAGGTTGTAGCCCAAATTAAGAATTAAAACAGGTAAGCATTGGCAAGTTATATTTTATAATGATTGATAAACTCAGGTTATTTTGTTATTTATCCTGTGTTGGATTAATAATCCTTGTGTCTAAAAGATTTTGAAGTCCATTAGCAAATTGGCAGTGAAAAGCATTATAGCTGATTGCAAACCGCTGTTAATGAAATTAATTTACCCAGCCTGCAGGTAATTCAGAAGGGGGTAAGGTAAGTGTGGTTCCTGAAACTTGTTGTTTTTTTCCCCCCTCTGTTGTTTAAAGGAGAAAATTCTTTATTATACAGTCCAGGGGACTGGAGGGTCAAGACGCCTGTGATTCCATATTAAATGACAAACAAACAAACAAAAAACAATGACAAACAAGACATGTCCAGCCCAAGTGAGAAAAGTTACGGATCCCTGTACAGCTTCATGGCAGAAAATTACAGATCCCTGGCACAGTCTCAGGGCAGAAAGCCAGAGGACTCTATTCAGCCAATGTCTTGGCCAAATGAATAGCATCCAAAGAGCAGCCTCATCAGGCCATGACTCCCTTAAACAGAATTATGGCCACAAGCAAAACAGACAGAAAATGAAAATAAATTCTTACCTCCCAGGAGACTGTAGATGGACTCAGGTTCTTTTGAGACTATAAGCTGCCAGCAGTCGCTCCAACTCCCTCCAAGCGAGATGAGAGGTTTTGGGGCCTGAGGTGACTCAGGAGGCACCTCCCCTACAAGCTCTCCACCCAGCCAGGGGGTGGGGGGAACCGAAGCAAGATGGCTGCTTGTGCTGGTGAATTCTTGCTGGGGTCTCCAAATGTTATGACCAAGTTGCAAGAAAGAGACACGCCAGCATGCTGAGTCTAATTAATTATGAGTCCTTTATTAACGTGCGGGTCAAGAGCAGGTTCACACCAGAAAACCTCTTGACACCTGAACTAAACTAGCAAGAAGCTTATAAAGGCAAAAACCACCAGTGGTCTACATAGCAGGGAGTGAGGGTACAAGGAATTAAAAACAAAAGGAACAATCTCTTGGATTTCAGTTAACAAGGCATACAATTACACAGAACTTGTGGCTAGGGAGTCTTGCAAATGGTCAACAGGAACAGTCAACATGATCAACTTAAGGGAATGCAGCTGTGGGTTTGTGGTCATGTGAACATTATAGCAATTACACATACACAATGGGGGTTCATTTCTAGGTCAAGAGGACAGTTAAGATGGAAGACTAATAAGATAGAGTTATTTATGTCAAATGAGCTATTACAGATTATTATTACTTATATCAAGCATTAAGCACACTAGTTTCATATTAAGCAAATTATTATAAACCATTATTGATTTTTCAGATATTTCAGGTGGACCTCAGGTGGTAACCCGAGCAATGGAGAGTGGCTGTAAATACAGATGAAGCTTTGTTTGCTTGCCTGTTGCTCACCTTTTGCTGGGTGCCCCAGTTCCTTACAGGCCACGGACTAGTACCAATCTATTGCCTGAAGGTTGGAGACCCCTGCTTGATTGTTTACCTTCATGATTGTGTGGCTGACTGGGAGCTGTGGCCAGCTGCCACTGCTAAGCACACAAAAGAGTATCCATAGCATATCACTAGTCAGAGATAAAATCAAACTTCAAAGTACAGTGTCTACTGAATGTATATTGCTTTCCCACCATCATAAAGTTGAAAAATTATAAGTTGAGCCACTGTAGGTCAAGGATAGCCTGTAATGATCAGTTTTTCTCTTGCTATTTTCAGTTTGACTGCAATGTGTCTAGATATAGATTTCTTTGATTTTATCCTACTTGGAGTTCCTTGAGTTTTCTGAATATGTAGATTTTTAAAAAAATCAAATTTGGAGCAGTTGGAGCCATTATTTCTTCACATTTTTTTTCTGCTTCTTTCTCATATCTTCTTCTGGGACTCTCATTATACATATGTTGTTACATTTGATGACGTCACACACGTTTCTAAAGTCCATTCATTTTTCTTCATTATTTTTCTTTTTGTTCTCCAAACTGGATAATCTTGATTGATTTACTTTCATTTCAGTTAATCCTCTTTTCAACCTAATAATTTCTATTTGGCTCTTTTAAAATAATTTCTTTATTGAGGTTTTTTGACTCATTACAATCAAACTTTATTTCTTTAAATATTTTATTTATTCTTTTGAGCATACTTATAATAGTTCATGTGAAGTCTTTGTCTACTAAGTCCAACAACTGTGCTACCTCAGAGACAGGTGTACTGTTTTCCTTTTTCTTTATATGACCCATACTTTCTTTTTTCTTTGCATTTTTCTTGATTTTTTGTGAAAAAAATGGACATTTTAAATAATATGTTGTGGCTTTTCTGGGTTCTCATTTCCCCACCCTCAAGAGTTGTTGCTGCTGCTATTTTCTGTTCTTTGTTTACAACTTTCTAGGACTAATTACAGGGAGTATGCAGCCACTGAAGTCTTTGCTCATTTAATTTTTAAATTTTATTTTTAAGTCTAGCCTCCAAGGAGTCACATTGGGTTGACACACCATGACAGCCACCAAACAATTGGCAAATGTTTTACTTAAATATCTTAAGCTAGTATGACTTCCAATTTTAGCTAAGATCTGTATGTGAATTGGATCATACAATCAAAGTTCAAGCATTTTACAATATGCCTTGACTTTCACTTTCTGCTTGTATAGGGACTTGTGGTCAGCCAGGGACTAACAGAGGTCATCTCTGGTCTGCCCTAAGCATGTGAATCCTTTCAGATCCCCAAGTATGTTTTAGGGCTTTCAAAGCCCGTATCATTGCTCAGATATACTTTTTAAAGTTTTTGAGTGGTCTGTTGTTTACTCCAACCAGTATTGCTGCTTTTGGCAGTGTGATGTTGGCATTTCCTGTTTGCCACCAATATTGTTATTGTTATTTTCCATGGAGCTCCAAATCAGATCAACTACCTCTAATGGCAGAAAGACCAATAGACTTCACAGCTACCAAGACATGGAAAGAAGGGAGAGAAAAGGAGAGAATGGAAGTCATGTCAAATTTAAACGCTACTGACTCCATTCCTCTATCCAATGTTCACTAACTCTTGAATAAATGTTTTCAATTTGTCGTATGCCCTTGGTTAATTTCTAGGGTCCTGAAATCGTTGTTGACATTTTGACAATTTCATCACTGTCTTTTGAAAGTGAGGATATCCCAATGTCCTCACTCTGGAAGTCCCACCTTCTGATAAACTTTAAAAAGAATTAAGATATCTTTTTGTTACCTTCCCAGAGAGGTGTCCGTCAGAAGTCTAAGATTGTTAACTAGGTGTTATTTTTTTTAAATCCTGTTTAACAATAATAGTCAAAACACTATTTTTACAAGAGAGAAATATTGTAATTGACCTTTTTTCTTGTCTGGCAATAATTTTTTAAAAACCCTTAAAACATTCATGCTTAAATTTTTTGGAAGTGTCTTTTAACAGTATGAAAGAGGATATAACTAATTGATTTCTGTATTGTTAAAATATGTACATGTAATATTTTGATTAAAAAGTTATAACTAAATAAAATTTGAATAAAATGTAATCAATTGCTAGTAATGGTTTATGATTTGAGAATAGGATAAACACTTTTTGACTTGAAATAGGTAACACAATTTCTGATTTTATACAACATACCTATTTACATCTATTATAATATAGTACATTTTACTATACTATAATAAAGTCTATTAAGGCATTAAGGAAGAAGAAAATCATTGGGTCTAGCAATATAAGGTAAGATATGACAAAGAGTTTTCTTTACAATAGAGAAGAGCATCTTAAGTAGAGAGATTGGCATCTACAAAGGCACAGAACTATATTAAAAGATTTAATACTTCCAGGAAAAAGTAAGTGGCCAGAATATAAGGGACACAGCAATAAAAATCTGAGGAAATGAGATAGGAAAATTCCGTTGACACTATTTGTGAAAGGTCTTGAAAGTCTTATTAACATTTGTGAAATTAGTCTGCTGAGTAATCTGAGAAGTAACTTGATAAAATCTGTATATGAGAAATACAATTATTTAAGCAACATAAAGGTTGAAGTTATGAACAGAAGAGGAAACAAGTTGAAAGTCAAATCACTACTTAGAAATTGGTGTTTTTTTATTTTACAACATCTATATTGTAGGCCTTGTGTCTCTCTTAGAGAAACAAAGAGTTCCTCTCATTTGATATTGCAATTAGATATTTTCCACAAAACATGATGGTTGTGTAACATTTGTCAACCTCTAGCATTCTCTTCTAAGTCATTAAAACATAATAAAAACGATAATGTTGATACTTACATATCATACCATTAAATGTCTTATTTATTACCACAGGGGAAATATAAACACAAAATAATATAAAAATAAAAGAAATATATGGAAAATACCTGGTACTGTCTGACACTAGCTAAGTTCTTGGCAATGACACTTAGGTAAGGCGAACTCTATTTTTTATTATCTGAAAAATGAACAGGCTGGTTAAAAGATTTCAAAAATCCTACCCAGTTTTAAGTTGAACACTTTATGGTTATTTTCTTAACTTCACTATTAGATCATTACACAGGTCAAATTAATTGACTTGTTCCAGTAAAATATTTTACTTTACCCAAGTAGCAGCACATAAATCCTTGATACTAGTTCCAAACGCTCGATCTTTAAATTTGCGGTCAAACAAACGAAGCTGTTTACGCTTCCTAGCTTTTATCTTCGTTGTACCTATATGTTATCCAGTAAAATAATATTATGACATATTCAGTTAACCAAAACCCATACATTAAATATATATACACACCCTAATCAATTTAGTTAGCCCTGGAATGGCAAGTGAACTATTTTTTACTATCTTTAAAGTCAATCTGATTAATTAAAAGAGACATTCTTCTCAAACAGTCATGTCCAAAAGAGCATTCTGTGATAATGAAAACTTTCCATATCTGCACTATCCCACACTAGCGACAGCCCCTAGCGACATTAAATACTTGAAATGTGGCTCCTATGACTTGAATGAATTTTTAATTCAACTTAATTTAAGATTGAAATAGCCACATTTGGCAAGTGGCTACCATATTTGCTCCAGAATATGAAAGAATAATCTTTGAAAGATCACTGAATATGATCGACTCTAAATCTTCTTAGTTGCTGCAAAGTCCATGTTTGTCCTTTACAGCTGCATAATATTTCATTGTGTATATGTACCACATTTTTTTTAACCAGTCTAGCTTTGATGGGCAACCTGGTTGGTTCCATGTTTTTGCTATTGTGAATAGAGCTGCAACAAACATACATGTGCAGGTATCTTTTTTGTAGAATGATTTGAGTTCCTCTGGGTATATTTCTAATAGGGGAATTGCTGGGTCATATGGAAGGTCAATTTCTCTTTTTTTTTTTTTTTTTTTTTGAGTTGGAGTTTCACTCTGTCGCCCAGACTGGAGTGCAGTGGCACACTCCCGGCCACTGCAGCCTCGACCCACGGGGCTCCAGCGATCCTTCCGCCTCAGCCTTCCGAGTAGCCGGAATTACAGACACGCGCTACCATGTCTGGCTGATTTTTTTTTTTTTTTTGTAGAGATGAGGTCTCGCCAAGTTGCCCAGGCGGGTCTCGAACCCACGGGCTCAGGCAATCCACTCACCTCAGCCTCCCAAAGGCACGGAATTACAAGCTGAGCCACTGAGCCCGGCTGGAAGGTCAATTTCTAGCTCTTTCAGATACCGCCACACTATCTTCCAAAAAGGCTGCACTAGTTTGCATTCCCACCAGCAGTGTAGAAGCATTCCTTTTTCTCTGCATCCTCGCCACCATCTGTTGTTGTTTATTTTATTAATGATGGCCATTCTTACTGAGGTTAGGTGGTATCTCAGTGTGGTTTTGATTTGCATTTCTCTGATGATAAGTGAGACTGAGCACTTTTTCATGTGTCTGTTGGTCACCTGTATATCTTCTTTTGAGAAGTGTCTATTCATGCCTTTTGCCCACTTTTTAATAGGTTTTTTTTTTCTTTTTGGTACATTGCATTCCTTGTAGATCCTAGATGTTAGGCCTTTGTCAGATACACAGTTGGCAAATATTTTTTTACCATTCTGTCTCCCTGCTTTCTTGATGGATTTAGAGTCAACCACACTCAGTGATCTATCACAGAAACAAAGAACAGCATACCATATGTTCTCACTCATAAGTAGATCTTGTACAATTATAATACTGTAAGAAAGTGATTGGCAGTAGTGAGAAACTGTCAGGGGAGTCAGGGTGGGATTGGTAGTTGAGGGAAACTGCTAGGGGAGAGAGGGCATACCTCATCAACAAGGGTACCTGAATAATCAACGTTTGTGTACCTAGCCATGAATTGTACACCACATCTTTATAATAAAAAATAAAAATAAATAATCTTTGATAGCACTAAATGGTTTTGTGCCAACACAATGTACTATAATTAGGTGAATATTAGATTTCTCTGACTACATATGTATTTTTCAGTATTTCCAAAAGAATTTTAACAGTTATTAGCTGGGCATGGTGGCTCCACACTTGCAATCCTAGCACTTTTGGAGGCTGAGCTAGGAGGATAGCTTGAGCCCAGGTGTTCAAGACCAGCCTAGGCAACATAACGAGACCTCATCTCTACAAAAAGAAAAAATTAAAAATTAACCTGACATAGTCCTATAGTCTCAACTACTCTGGAGGTTGAGACGGAAAGATTGCCTGAGTCCATGAGGTCAAAGCTTCAGTAAGTTTGTGATTGTGCCACTGTACTTCAGCCTTGTTGACAGAGGGAAATCCTGACTAAAAAAATAAATAAATAAACCAGTTATTATTTTATCTTATAACAATTCTGTGAGGTAGTCCATCCACTAAATAATGTTAGGTAAGTAGATTTTAATATGTTTCATTTTTTAAGACAACTTACTAAATTTAGATAAAAAGCACTTCCAAAAGGAAATAATGAGAAGCAAAAAATATCCAAGAATAACATTCTGGTGCATAAATAATATTTGGCTGCAATGCTGCTTCATTTGTTCAAATAACACTAGCATATGACACTGTATCTCTATAACAGACTACTACGGAAAGAGGCATAGTCACGATAAAATGCAGTATAGTCATTCTCTGACAATAAGGGCTGGAGTGAGAGGAAACTATTGTCTTTTTATTTACTGAATTATATTTTTATAGTCACCTGGAAAATTGTCTGGAAAGCATGACAATGGTATTAATGTAGACCATGCAATAAGAGAGGTAATGAGAAAACTAGTCCACCAAGTCCATATCCATTGTTGATTAGCATTATTGTCTTTAGTGCTTTAATGGAGAAAAATAAAAACTATTTCAACTGTTTGTATTTTATTACAACAAAGTCATAATCAAGGGAAGAGAGAGAGAGAGAGAGAGAGAATAAAAAATGGAACTTTTTGTTAATTTGTTACTATTTGTTTTGTTGAGAGGAGTGGTTGCCAGTCCTCCAATTATGTGCTTCTGTTTTGTCTTACAGTATTATAAACTTTTCCTTCTCTTCCTTGACACTACTAAGGTGGCAAAAGGTGCTTGTTTGTTTCTCTTCAAATTTTTTCTATACCAGAAGCTATACATCTGAATAACTATCCTATTAAATATTAAATCATTCCTTTAAAATCATTCCTGCCTCCCTTTAAATCAAGCACCTAGACCTTAATGGAAAGCCTTTCCCCTTAAGTTGCATGACTGAACCTTTAAATGACATTTGACCCTTTAAATTGCATATACTTTGAAATCCTTTTATTCTAGTCCCTTTTTTGAACTCTCAGATTTAGTGTGAATTTATTCTCTGAATGATTACTCCAAATCACCCTTGGGACATTTTGTTGGCTTCTCTGTTTCCTGTCTGTTCTGCAGGTTTTCCTGATCTGCCTTTATTCGCCACAAAGTCTTACAGTAGAGAGGGTGAGATGGAAATGTGAAAGATTTTATTCCGGTATTAGTAAATTTTCCCTTTTTACTCATAGTTATTTTGCAGTTTCAGTATTTTGTTGTCTTCAGTTAATGCTGAGGTCATGATTTTGTGGCGAAGTTTCAGAGTTTGGAGTTATTTTGTGTCATTTAGGGAGGAGATTAGAAGTCATGACAATGACACAGATGTCACTATCTTCAGCTCTACTACACACATTTAAGACCTTCTTCAATAAGCAATTATGGGAAAATACTCACAACCACAGGAACCAAGTGCTGGTTTTTCACAGAGGATGCTCTCGCCAGCCAAGACCTGATGAGTAACTTGCATATATGTTTGTCTTTCATAAGATGTAGAGAATGTGGCAGTCTTATTCCTTATAGGACAACTCTTTATATACTCCCAGCATTAATAAAGGATACAAATTCCAGCTTGCATAAAGTTCTAATCTTGATTTCCACTATCAACTTGTCATATATATCTGAAAACGATACACTCATGGGGTTTCAATTCCAGATTGTTACTAGGGCTCCATGTTTTCTTCATGATTATAATAGAAAGTTTTTTGGGTTTTCTTTTTGTTGTTGTTATTTTCACTTTTGAACCCAGCAATGTATTCTGACTACGTACATTGCATTACATATAATTATTACATATGTATAAGTAAATATGTACTTAAGATAGCTAGGAAAATCAACACAAAACTTTTGATTAGAAAAAGTAATATAAAGATTACATGTAAAATATAAGAATTCCATGCACAATATAAACTAAATGCATGAAATGCCCAGGAATAAGCTTAATGGGATATGTTCAATAAGGAAAATAATGACATTTTATTGAAGGGTATAAAAGAAAAGTAGAGAAGATAGAGCCACATACCACATTCTTGCATGAAAAGATAATTATTCCCAGTTTGGTAATAAATTCAAGTAATTCGAATAAAAATGCTTTGATTGTAACCTGAGATTATAAAAGGCATCTGAAAGAGTAATTTTGCCAAAATAGCCCCGATGTTTGATGAAAAACAATAATGAATGGGTATTTACCCACCCAAACAGCAAATTATACAATAATGATTTAATAATTAAAACACTAGCATTGGCAGGGGAATAGAAAAATATATCAGGGAACATATTAGAGCAATAAGAGACAGGAAGAAAACCTAAGGACACAGGCCAATTTAATTTATAATTCAGATTGTGTTTAGTATCAGTAAAAAAAACTCATACAAAATAATTCATAAATGTCATCAGCACAATTAGATATCCCTTTGAGGGAAAAAGAAATCTGGCCCAAGTCTCATGTGTGCAAAAATAAACTGAAATTGAATATTAAATTTAAACATACAAAGCACATTTACACAAGAACAGGAGAAAATACAGTCAAAAATTTTAATAATTTTATAGAGGGCAAGAACTTCTCAAGCAAGGCAGAAAACTAAAATTTTATGAAAGGAAAAAATATTTACATATTATGCTATATAAAAACTTATAAAGTTTGTATAATGAAAGACACCATATATAAAGTTTAAAGACAGATTGGGAGAAATTATTTGCCATATATCTAGCAAACAATTGATATCCATTATACTTGAGCTTTTATAAACCTATGAGAAAGAATGAGCCAATATGAAAACAAGCAGCAAATTCAACCTTAAAAAAATACAGATGGCTAATAAATATATTGCATCCTGACAACACACTTTTTTTGGGTAGCTTAAGAACATAATTTAATTTTTAAAAAACTATATAATTGATATAAGGCAAGTTTACAGCAATCTGTATTGGAAGAGATAGCACCCTCTACCTAGCAACAGAAGAGAGCCATTACCACCTCCAGGCCTGAAAAGACAAGAAGACAGCAGTTAAGTAGGAGGGTGTATCACAAGGCCCATGGACTAGATGTGGCCTTTATTAAGGCGATATGACCAAACCATTGAGATTCAGCAGGAAAGGAGAGATAAGAATAAATATCCAGACCTGACTTTCCTCATGCCCTCTGCCCTTTGGTCTCTTCCTAGTGCCCTACACAACCCAAACCTAAAAAATGAAATAAAATAAAAATAAAACAGAAGGAAAAAAGTCCATTGGTGTTGCCCATAGGTCACCCCTCTTAGGTATAGAGCAGGGTAGGAAAAAGTAGAGAGTGGAACTATAGCAACAAACAGAAGATATTTAACAGTCCATCACTTTTGTGCCTCAGAATCTATTTTTTTATTTTTTTTTTTTGAGTTAGAGTCTCATTCTGGCACACTCCCGGCCACCGCAGCCTTGACCTGCTGGGCTCTAGCGATCCTTCCACCTCAGCCTTTCAAGTAGCCAGAACTACAGGCCTGCGCTACCATGCCAGGCTGATTTTTGATTTATTGTAGAGACAATGTCTCACCAAGTTTCCGCAGGCTCAGACAATCCACTCACTTCGGCCTCCCAAAGCGCTGGGATTACAGGCTGAGCCACCGAGCCCGGCAGAATCTATTCTTATTATTTGCTTTAAAAAAAAATCTTCGGTGAAAATAGTTCATGAAATATAATCAATCCCATTAGTTACCAAACATATGGTTGTAACAGTTCCATTATTCTCTCAGCTGAAATTTAAGACAATGTTGTAGAAGATGTTGTTAGTGTCCCATTTATATTAACTCAGCTAGGTATTCATCATTCCGGTGTACACAAATGAATAACTTTGAATGGCTAAGATTCTGTACTTGGCCCAGGCCACAGAGTGCAGGTCAGAAATACCCAGGTGTCAATATTAATCCCAGGAGCATCCCTCAATCAGTGATTGGGATAACTGATTGTTGGGATAACTCTGAGTCATATATTGTAGTGTCCCCCAGGGTTCCCCAGTGTGATGGAATCCTAATAGCCCCAAGCAGTAAATTGCTCAATATAATATATTGTCTTCTTTACCTTCCCATGCTTACTTCTCCACTACCCTAACATGATTCCTAGTATCATGTCCCAAACAGTGTGCACTTGTTTCAAATATCCAACCAAAAATAGTTACCATAATTATCCACTAAATTGGATACTTAGAAGAAATGGATAAATTTCTAGAAACATGCAACATACCATGAAGAAATAAAATATCTGAAGAGACCTATGGTGAGTAAATAGATTGAATCAATAATCAAAAGTTTCCCAACAAAGGAAAGCCCAGAACCAGATAGCTTCACTGGAGAACTCTACCAAATATTTAAGTAAGAATTAACAACAATTCTTCTCAAACTCCTACAAATAATTGAAGAGGGGAGAACAGTCCCAAATTCATTCTTTGAGGCCAACATTACCCTGATACCAACTCAGACAAAGATATTACAAGAAAACTACAGACTAATACCCATGATAAATGCTAATGAAAATACTCTCAATAAAATAAAAGTGAATCAGATTCAACAACATATTAAAAGCATTATACATTATAATCAAGTGGGAATTATTCTTGGAATGCAAAGATGATTCAACATATGAAAAAAAAGTCAATGTGATACACCACATTAACATAATGAAGGACAAAAAATACATAATCATGTCAATTGATTCAGAAAAAGCATTTGACAAAATGCAACACCCCTTATGACAAAAACACTCAACAAACAAGGAACAGAAGTACCTCAACATGATAAAGGCCATATATGGAAAGCCCATAGCTAACTTCATACTCAATAGTAGAAAACAACTTTTTCTTTAAGAACAAGGCAGACAACTCTAGGTCTGACAAAGGCTTAACATCCTGGATCTACAAGGAACTCAAACGTACTGAAAAGAAGAAAACAAACAACCCCATTATAAAATGGGCAAAAGATATGAACAGACACTTCACAAAAGAAGACATCCGAGCAGCCAACAAACACATGAAGAAATGCTCAACCTCACTAATCATCAGGGAGATGCAAATCAAAACCACACTGAGATACCACCTAACTCCAGTCAGAATGGCAATTATCAACAACTCAAAAAATAACAGCTGCTGGAGAGGGTGTGGTGAAATGGGAACACTTTTACACTGTTGGTGGGAATGTAAACTAGCGCAACCTCTGTGGAAAGCAGTGTGGTGATTCCTAAAAGCTCTAAAAATTGACCTTCCATATGACCCCGCAATCCCCCTACTGGGAATATACCCTGAAGAACACAAATCACTCTATAAAAAAGATACCTGCACACGTATGTTTATCGCAGCGTTGTTCACAATAGCAAGAACCTGGAAACAACCATGCTGCCCATCAAAAGAGGACTGGATTAAAAAATGTGGTACATATACATGATGGAATACTACGCAGCCATAAAAAAGAACAAAATCATGAATTTCGCAGCAACCTGGATGGAACTAGAGTCTATAATACTGAGTGACCTCTCACAGAAACAAAGATCCG